CGTCACTGTCGCTGTCACTGTCGCTGATAGTAATCACCTCATCTCGGGGACGCTTCGAGATACGCTTATATAGGAATTTATAGTAACACTATACTAAGGCTGATCCGTACTGTACGGCATCCGAGAGCATATCCTTACATTCTTTAAAGTCTTTCGGACCCCTACGAAGCGCATGAGAGAGTCTGATGAATTCTCGACCGACACTATCGACGTCCTCGTCTATTGTAATTGTAAACTTAAACATGACTCGTAGTTGATTGATCTAATGTATAGAAGAGGAGAAACTTAATCTTCTAAAAGAGTTCTCGGGAGATTGGTTTGAGTTGAAACTGACGGGTGGCTAAGATTCTACATCGTTTACTCGCGGTCTTATATTCTTATAGTCTCTATATAAGTATAACTTTAGAGCCGGAAGAGGTATCCAGTAGGAGCCTGAATTAGTATCTACACTAGATTAACGAGATAGTCCGGTAGAGGAGAAGTTAGGAGGGGAGAGTCACGGGTGGCAATAGTACTTCGAGGCTTTTAGTCAGTCCTGCTGCCTTAAGCTATACTTCTATACTAGAGGCTCTTCTATGAACTTTTAACCTACTACTATATTTAAAATCTCTAAACCAGTAATAAACTCTCGCTCTTCGTTCCCAAATTTCTACATCTTTTAGTCAGCATCGGACGATTTATGCCGGGATTTATGATACGATATAGCTAGTAGCTCTCCTATTTCCCCTTCTCTAGGAAGCTCATATAGATATGATATTAGACCGTTTCGTCATCAGCTAAATTTCAAATGTATTTCTACACTCTACTTCGCAGGTAGGTTACAGTATATGAAGGCTTACTAAAGGATATGTAAAGAGTGGCCGAAGCCGCCATTTAGAGTAGCTATAGGCATCCCTTCCTCCTTCCTCTATCCGGTTTATCGAAAGGAATTAGATTGCATGTAAACGAGATTCTATTGCTAGAATCTACTTAATCCTTCGTCTCGTCGTGAGTGTTAGCACTTTCAGCCTTCTATAACTACCTGCGAACTCGAATCACCCTCTATCATAAGCTTCTCCTCCTCTGTATTTAACTATAAGAACCGGAGACGATATTTTACGGGGGAGTCACGTCTATGTACCCCTTATCATTAGCCGTGATTATGATTTGGAACTCATCGATACCTATGAATGTACATGGTGCTGTTCCTGATGTAACACTAATCTAAGAGACACTAATATCGTTATAGTCGCCGATGGAGTACGAAGGAAGTGCGAGACATTCGATAGAGCCTAAGTTATGCACCTGTCCATCTCGTAGGAGCTTAAAGCTAAGTGTCTACGTGCTAGCGGCGAATATGACATTTAATGGCCAGTCTTCACTCCTCCGCTCAGACTTAAGACCTATTTCTATATTACTCGATGCTAACTCGTGGATGTCGGGGTAGGGTGAGATAGCTCGTCTAACGGACATTCCTTATAACTAAAGAAGAACTACGATAGTCTTACTAATAGAGTTGAAGAACACTATGTTAATAAAAGAAGAAATCTTCGTAGAGAAGAGATCCGTAGGGAGGGAGCTTAGGTGAGATACGAGGGACTTCCGGCTTAGACGAAACTATTACTAATAGAGGATGAATGATGATTTACCTAGGGATCCAGACATTAGAGTTAAGATGCTAACCTTTAACGTAAACAGTCGAGAAGGTGGAAAAAGGGCTCTTAAAGCTTAATTCGGTCCTAGAGGTTGAAAAGGGACGAAAAGAGTTAATGTCATACGAGGGAGCTAGATTAGGACTCTTTAGTTAAATAAATACTTATCCTATAAATTAAGTTATATCCAGCATCGAGTGTCCCCTTATAGCGAGGACGAAATAGACCGTACGTATGATTAAGCTCTTTCATTTATTCTCCCTCGTTTATATTAATGATGACGTATAGGGAGTAGTACCGGAGGTGTCGCCCCGAGGAAAGACTTAAGAAGCCTTATAAAAGGCTAGCTCTCGGGGAAACGCCTCCCCGACTCTACGGGTAGCGTAAAGAAACCGCATCGATATAAACTAGGTATATTTTTACTCCTCTCCTCTATTATCTCTTTTTAAGTAGGTAAAGTTATGATTAACGGCGACTAGGAACGGTTACTCTAAGAGAGATTCGTCGCTATCAGAAGTCTACCGAGTTACTCATTCGTAAACGTCCCTTTTAACGGCTTATCCGTAAAATTATAGAAGATGCGAGAATTAGCTAATTAAAATGGTAAGGGGATGGTCTTCGGTTCTAGTCGACGGTAATCGAAGCTCTATAAGAAGCTCTCGAGTTATATCTTACGAGCCTATTCGAAGATTCTAATCTCTACGCTATCTACGTAAAACGAGTTACTATTCGTGAGCTAGTCTCTACTTCCTACGAGAGTAAATTCTTAATTAACGCCTTTAGAATCGAAAGATATACAGCTCGCACGACGTTTACGTAGAGAAAGGAACCCGGTTTGAGGAAAGACTCGAGAGCTTTAGCAGCTTTATGTATAAATAGTTATTAATGAAATATCTTCCTTAGTTTTAAAGGCATCTCCAGTATGTATTTAACGGCAGCTAAAGCACGACGACATATAAACTAATGGGATGAGTTTTCTAGAACCTTATAAAAGTGTTAGAGAACGTATAGGGTCTAATAGAAGGTAGTAAACTCGTATAAGGATTATAACTTTAGAGCGGGTAGGGAGCCCCTACGTTTAGGCTAAAACTAGCTAACTTAGTAGGGGCTCCGGGCCGGATTTTACCTACTGATAAAAAGATTTCACGCTCGAGTACACTACTGTACTGTATCGTATTTAAGACTGTAAAGAATGATATTTTAATCTATTTATTCGGAGCTCGGGATCTAAAGGCTATTCTTCCCTATATAATTAAGATGCTAGGAGTAGTTCGACCATCTATACGCTAAGTACGTCTCAAATTTTCGAAGAAACATGTTATATTATAAAAGTAGCCTCCGTCCTCTACCGTATAGCATCACTTTTAGACTATAAAGATTTCGAGCTCATTATCCTAGTCGTGAAGACGCCTCTATTCTACGCTCCTTACTCATCTAAGTATCGTAGTCCTTTTTAACTTAATATAATAACTAATTATTGTAGACTAGAAATAAAATCAAGCTGATCCCTATACACGCACTCGTTATTGTAACCGTGATGGTCGCCGTCACGGACTAGATCCCGTCCTTAGCGGTGTATACATTAATTAGCGTATTAACGAGACCGAGAATGGCATTAAGTAAAGTTAGCCTGATATCATAAGGTTAGTGTCCGCTTCCAGCTGCCGGCTAGGTAGTCATTATAAGAATATTCAATTTACTAACTAAATGTAGTTCCTCTTCCATCTTTTCTAGAGTAGAGAGATGCTAACGACTTTAAATAGGCAGTAAGCTCCTAATATCTAGAGGAGCGAGGCATTCTAAACGGTGTCTAGAATAACTTTTCCTATAGGAGTCTTACTTGCCGCTTCTTACACTGAATTAGAGCTTTTAAGAGAGGTAAACGTACCCGGGAATATAATGTATCCAGCCAGGATTAACTACGTAAATAAGCTCGTATAGAAGTTATAGCGACGTAGAACCTCATCAAGCTCTAAGAGCATCGCTACATACCGAGATTGTAAGCGTGGCGGGTCTGTCGAAAGTGGCCTAGAGAAACGAGCCTTATTTCTCTGAAACGAAGGTAGTGGGAGAGGAGCCTATAGAAACTTAGATTCTAGATGAAACGGCTGTTCCCTTAACTTTAGAGGGAGAATAGTCACATATCGTTTTTGAGAATATATTACTTACTGTATATGCGCTTCGGATACTGGACTCCTTTTCACCTTAGCAGCGGGTATAGAAGACGGAGAGTTCTTAGGAAATTCCATCAGCGGTAGGGATCGTGACGAGGAGCTCATTATATCCTTAACATTATCTTTCTTAGATAGACATTAAAGTGGAGTAAAGTACTGTACTATATACTTACAGTTTCTACAAGGCTTAATGTAAAAAGAGGGTCTATATACGGCTCCTGAAGGGTGCCGGATATTTCGACAACGAAAGGACGCCCTCCTTAGGAAGAGATAATCAGGCTCTTAGGAGCCGAAAATGAAGTGCCTAGATATCTAAATAAGAGATCTCTGACTCCGCATTAGTGCGAACAGTTAGGTGCCGTTTTAGGTCTTTAAACTAACTTAAGTCTTTCATCTGGAAACATAAAGGGCGACTATTGCGTGGTCGGCAAGTACAAAGAAGCAGAATCGAACCCCTCGAAGCAGGTGTACAGTCGTTCCCGTAACCGCCCTCCCTCTTGTAGACACATTGCAACTTTTACCAGCGGAAGGTTTTTAATACTAGTCGGTGATGCTATGCCTATTCAGTGGTAGTTTGTCTACTATTTGAGGCATGACTCAGCAGCGGATTCGCCTCAACGTATTTCTGTTACCGACCGAATACAGGAAAAGCAGAAAGTTTAGAAGGCCGCGGGTGTTCTCGAACATTCAAGCGCCGAGCCTGTGACAGGAATAACTGGCACACGCATTACGTCATTTACCCAACCACTCTCATTTTATCTACCAACCTGATTTTGCGTCAATCTTTCCTCTTTATTCTATCATCAACTATGGTCAATGCAAGGCCTGTAACACCTACCGAGGAAGAGGACGACCTAGACAGCTACCAGAAGCCCACCCTGATCAAAAAGAAGCTGCGGATGGTCACGAAATTCTGCCAGGACCAAAATCTCGAAATCCGTCAGACAGCTATATTTAGGTGGGCCGCTCAGGCTGTTTCATTCCTCAACACTCGTGCTCAGTCTTATTTCTGGGTCTCTACCTCCCCTTATGCAAGACAGTAACTTTTCGCGGTCGTCGAAGAGGCCCTATTTGGGATCCGAAAGTCCTAAATCCCTCATCCCTCCAAAAGGAGTGAAGACAATCACTCGCAGCGAATTCCCCTCCGTGCAAAATGAATCAAGGATCATATATGATAGATTGATTGCATCTCAACTCAACTCCAGGTACCACCATACCAAAATTCGGGTGCGGATTCGAAACCCCCGATACCGATAACACCCCCTTTTGGATTCCATGTCATGTTTGACTGCCGGCAGATTCTGAAGTATTCATTAGGCTTGAAAGGACGAGTGAACGGTGCAAAAGGACTTGAATTTCTTGACGCCTTTGTGGCAAAATCCGCCTCGACCAGGATAATTGAGACACAATAGCCGCAGATCTGTGCCCATTCGTATGTCAACCGCTCGATTCGTTCCAAGAAGTTGCCTTGCCCATCGGCCGAGCTCTGTGTCTCTCCTGACGTTTCAAGTTTCTCGATAGCGTGCTCTATTTCAGAATAGCCATACAATGGTCGTGCATCGAAAATACCAGGCTCCGCAGTACCATCAGGATCGTCAAAAGCTTGTTTAAGCATAAGCAACTTGTCCAGGAGGTTAGAATTTTGGCAACAACTGGCGGGAATGGTAGGGTCGACGTGTATCACCGCCCTTCGTTCTTGCCCTTCTGGAGAAGACTGACTGACAATGACCTCTGCAGTTTTGATCATATGGCAACAAGGTGGGCACCAAATATTGATAAATTCTTGAGTTCCTTTACCATTCGCAATCTTCTCCTCAATGGTTTTCCGATAACCAGAGATCTCGCGGAATAATAAATGGGTAGATCCATAGCCGAGGCTGGCTCTCTTGTAACTGAGTTCCTCGCGAGATGACTTTAGTCGTCGAGAGGAGAGACATTCTGTATCCAAGGAATCGAAGGTGCAAGCTTTTGTTGTTACCAGCAAGGTATTGGGGTACGCAGGAAGCGCCACTGGGGACGTTATTTACACATAGCGTATGTCACAGTGAGGACTTACTTTTCATTTCCAAATCTCGCATGTCTCTGTCGTCATCTGCTTGGTTCACTTTCTGTGCAGCACCTTACAGAAGTTAGCTGTCGCGGTTCACATGTGAAATGGTTTCAGTGTTCTCAATGATGTTGTCACTTACTGGTAACCTTTTCTCTAGCAGCCACGATCATATCTTGCAGAGCAGTCCACACATCACGGTACCGATTTTCATCAGCTCTCGCGAATTTGCAGATATTAAAGTGGTCAGCATTCACTGGAACTCTCTGCTCGTTGGGAAGCCGCAGAATTGCGGAATCTTCTGGTACGACCTAATGCAATTTTTAGAAAGTAAAAACGGCCGAAGGCGAGTATGGTCTTAACTCTAAAGTTCATGCGCGGCAGCTTGTCCAGCTCAAAGAAACTGAGAATAGACAAGGTTGGTGAACGATCGATGAAAGATTTTGATATTTCAAAGAGTTCTGGCGAACCCTTCTTCAGACTCTTTAGTAGCGAGTCGTTGGTGCTTGTCGCAGCGCTTGCATACTTCGCAATGGTCCCAATGATTTTGGCCCAGTCTGCCACTTTAGAACCTTGGTGTGGTGTACCTAGAAAAGCTATTCCATAGAAGCAGCTAAGTAAATCTTTGAAGCGGTCTTGCTCATTTGCGACGATGAAAGCCTATAAGCAATAGTTAGTGGCTAGCAATGATAATGCGTCGTACCATGGGAAGACGGTACGCATACTTTCTTGACAACAATCCCACCAAGGCTGTGGCAGATGAACACGATTGGCCTCCTTTTCTCTTGCCGGCTTCTACGCCGACTTGCCACTTGGGCCAAAAGTCCTTCTGCGAAAGCCCCAATCCCAGCGACAGATTTGCTCAACTGTGCTTGGGAGTTGTATCCATATGACATTATCCTAGTATCCACAGCCTGGTCCGGCAAAAATCCTTCATCCTTTAACCAGTTTGCTCCAGTATCGTCCGCCACCCAGGTACTTTCATAATCTCCATTGAGACCATGAAGGGCGATGATATCCACAACTCCATCTTTTATATCTGGCTGGTCTTTGAATACAAACAAGCCATACTTTTCACTAGTTCCGTTGGAAGGGAACGGGCCGTTCGAGGCCGCCCGTTCGTGCCTCACACTGAGAGTGGTTGTGCGTTCCGCGAGGACTTCCGGTGTGGCAGTCGAAGAACGAGCGTTCGGCCCAAGAAGTGGGAGTGTCGTAGTTGTTTCGGTAGTAATAGAAGTATTGAGACCTAAATTCTCTCCAGAGATGGGAACTGTAGAAGTATGTGCGTTGTCTGCCGAAGCTGAGGCCTTGTTACTACTTTCACGTGGAGTGTCAGGTCCAACTCCCATAACCTTCTTCGCTTTTCTCATTATTGGACCCATTTCTTTCTGCAGGTCATTCAACATAAACCTAGGTCGTGTTGTTGGCCGTTTTAAACTTAAAGAACAATTCACAACATCGAAAGCGGCTTCCTGGGCGTGCCGAGAGGGAGGCTTGATCAAGGAGATAGTGCAAAGAAAGCTTGTGGGAGGATAGATAGCGCAGGTATAACAGGTTCGGGCTTGTAGTTGGGGCGCTGACTTCGATAACTACATGAGTCTTTGACAGGACGGCCAGTATAGCTCATTAACAGCTTGTGCAGGCACGTGTAAGACTGCGCAGAAGAATGATGTGCTGGATCAGGCTGAAATGCGATCCTCAATTATCACGTGATTGAGATTAATTTCCGACACGAATTTTCTTGCCGTTGCAATCGCCACTCGTCCTCCACTAATTATGTAAGCCACAAATCCCGTCTCGTCAGAAAGGCCACGACGCGGAAGGCTAGCGTATTGATAATACGCTGGTTCTTTTACGCTGGGCTATGATTTGTTAACTCAATGTAGACGGAATTTACCATAATAGGCAAAGGCGCCCCGCTTCTTGGGCAATTTAAATTTGCAATGTGTCCTTAAAAGGGGAGGGCGGTTTCGGGAACGACTGTACTAAGTTGGATAAGATCAAAATTCTATAATTATGAGAATAGCCAACAAACTCCCCTTTTACCGGTTGTTATAGGTTATCCGGAAAGGTATGTTAAAATCACTAATAAGAACGTACATAATCCACTTATTCTTATTAGTATAGCGTTACCGACAAAGCCATTTACGCCGGCCGTTAAAGCGACGCACTTCTCAAAGCGACGGCCTCCTTCCTAATAAACAGCTCTAGAGAAATTTATCTTTAGAAGGACATGGATTATTAAGCTTAGTGGAACTGGATAGAGACTGATCATGGTAAAGTTTTCTTCGACAATACGGGGAATCGTATAGGGAAAGGGAGCTATCGAAGGTGTATTTGGAAACGACTAGAGACATTAGACTATAGAAGAACTTAAGGGGAAGCTCTTACCGCATTTAAGGAGGTGAGAGGGCCGATTATTGAGCATTAAGTTAAAACGATGTTTACTATATTCTATACGCGGAAGAGGAAACTAGTTAAGTGTGTCTTATCTCCCTCAACTTCTATAACCATCAGCCTATACTCCTTCTTAATATCTTAGACTCATCCTCTAGTGCTAGAATCTCAGCATAGCCTACCGCTTTACTAATATCATCGATACTCATTAGCGGTGTAATGTTAGGGTATTGACTCTGGAAGATCGTTGTCCCATTGAGCTAATACGGTACATTCTATCGTACTGAGTACACTAGGTGATACGATTTTCCGTCCCTAATCGTAGTGTCTAAGTCGGGTGGGGAATCGATGTCGCTCCATTTAGTAGTATTCGATGTAGGTCGAGATACGCCGACCAGCTGAGGCCAGGAGGATATACAACTGAAAGTTATATTCCTTATTCTTGTAGAGGTTAGTAAGTCCCTAGTCGATAGGAGCGTTATAAGGGATCATAGATAAGTAGTAGAGGGCTTTACGTACGCCCCTCTAAGAGATAGCGTACGCTGCGGTACATACCGCGCCTTCCGAACGGAAGACTATTCTTGTTCGTTCGCCGCCGTCCGGGGTGGCCCGCCAGCGGCTCATGTCTGGCTCTACTACGTTATCTCTATGCATTCGAGATGGTGGTACGGTAGGATCACTAGGGACGACGAAAAATCGACGGTTGTTATCTAGCATTACCTAGGTACTATAATAGCCGATCTAAAGCATATCCCAGTTATCTCCATATAGCGAGTGTTATATATCCTGATTCGTAGTACCCAGGAGGAATCTCGAACCTCTGGTAAATTGTATAAGCTAGTGCTTAAATGCGACATCCTAGTCTACGTCGTCCTCGAAAATTAAGGCGGTAGAAATGCTTTCATATACTATCCTCTAATAGACATTAATATATATACGCTAACATCTAATGACGCTCGTCTTTTAGTTCATTATCTATAAATATTAGTAATTTTTAAAGAGAGGGTATCTAGTTTAGCATACGTATGGTAATGCTTTAGTAGGGACATTATCGCCGTATACTCCGTCTATAAGGGTATACGAGATTTCCGAAAATGCTGCCTGTATAGTAAAGGTATCTTATTTGTCTGTCCGTTCTAGAAGCGAGATCATATATATCTTTTAGAAACCTAGAGTCTCATTATATATCTAAGAGAGGGACTCGGAATATCGACTTGACTTTATAGACTTCGCTTATATGCCTTCATTAATCGTAGGAAAAGCGTCTTAGATATCAAAAGGGCCGTAAGACTTAGGGTCAAGAACTCGAAAGGAGGTAAAGAGTAAGATAAGTACTATAAGGAAAATAGCCGTTATAAAACGGAGGCGTATACCCGCTGCGGACAGTATCATATTTATGACGTAGGTCGAATACTAATTCCGCTGATACTTCGCTCTACGATCATAAGTAATAAAGTTATATCTAAGGGAGGAGCTAGTTATAGAGGACTCTACATCACTTACGGTATTAAATACTATTATAATTACTTTCTAAGTATCATACGTCGCTTATAGAAGAGTGTAAGAGGTTAGTAAGCTGCCTATCAGCTAGATTACTGAAACTTCTTCTAAATCGTTCTACTCCTTTTATACTAACTCTAACTATAGGTATCTATAGAAGCGAGATATACGTAGAGTAGCATCATAGACAAGAATAGCGTCTCTAACAGGGACTTTTAATCCTACTAATTATGTCGTATTGAACTGGGGCGAGGCTTTTAGCTAAAGGTATCAACTCGTACGGCGGTGGGCGGGTAACGACTATCGCACAGTAATAATAAAGTAGCATCGAAGATCCTGATCAGATAGATTCCATAAGTTAATTGATCACTGTTCTCAACCTGTCGATTAAGTTACTTGAATGATAGGATGATCCTGTTGGAGGATTCAAGAGAAAAGGAATCTCAGACCTAGTGTTAGAGATCCAGCTAATCAGCAGTCAGGAGTGTCATCCTGTACATTATACATGCAAATTCCACTAATCACTTTTCAGCCTGTAGATTCTCCCACTACAGTATAGCTAGTATTTTATAACGGTAGGCACGATTATCCACATAGAGGTGAAAAATCTATTCTCGGGTTTCTTATAATGTGTTAATTTAAGTAAGAAGATAGCTTAACTTCCTCCTAGTTATATCTACCCCTCACTTATAACTATACTTTCGAATGTATCGAAGCCGTTAAAAGATGACCTTAAGTACGAGCCGTAAGCCCCTACCCTAACGATCTCGATATAGTCACTAACTTCGATATCCGCTGGTAGATAGAAGGGACCGGGCATGAAGTCTAAGTCGGTAGTCGGTCTATAGAACGAGAACGGTAGATCCGGCTCATTAGAAGGTATATCGCGAAGTAGTCTAACGTAGAAGCGCCATTTTAAGTGCGCAGTATCCGAGAGAGTACCGTAGGTGCCGTCGTTAATATAGAGCTCCAGCCTACGTCGCTTTTCCACCCGAATAATGACTAAATGGTATTTAGCGTATAGTACTCGGCCTAGCTCTACCTAAAGCTGGGTCGCGGGGGTAAATGGTAAATTACGAAAGGTATCATTAATCGCTTTTATAAAGTCGGAAAGAGGCGGTACTTCCATACTAGGATATATAATGGGAAATCTACTACTAACGTTAATGATGTCGATTTTAACTCCTACATCCATAACTAAAGTATAGACCTAATGTAATGCGTCTTAATATACCCTAGGCTCTATCGCCTAGCTTCCTAGGTGGAAACATATTCCTAGTCGATAGGTTAGTTCTATTATTGTCTGGAGTGATGTAGCTGTAGCTTTAAGTGATTTCCTTATCGCTTGGAGTAAGGACTTAGCCTCTTAGCTAGAAACCCCGAACTTAGGTGCTAGATTGACCTTCGTATATTGCGATTATACCTGAATGCGGATACATAGGGTTAAATCAGTAGCGCGTTAAGACCCCTCAGCGGTAGCCTATATAATCTTTTCCATTTCGCTTAGGGAATCGAGGCTAAACACCCGTACATTATAGGAGAAGTAGGCCTCTCGAATAGCTTCCCGAGCTTTAACTGGATTCATAAAACATAAGGTAGCTGCCGGTAAGATACTGGACACATATCGTACTTCAGTAAGAGATGCGACGTTAAACTAGGTGATACCGTTCTCCTAGAGTAGCCTTAGTAGATTCGGGTAAGGGTTCGCTTTGACCGCGTACATCGTTCGACCTGTAAATAGTGTAGTAAACTACTTTATTATAGCTACTACCGCCCTTAGGTAAATAAGAGTTATCGGATATGGGGAATTAAACTTCTAAGCTATTCGTAAAGTATCGTTTATAGTTCTTTATTCAGGTAAACTATAATGATGTTCGTTCGGTTAAGAAGCGATGGTATAGATAGATCCGGGTGAGGCAGCTCCTAGGTGAGCATCTCTCATCTTATCAAGATCCTCGAGTTAAGTACCTCTACCATTCTAAACCTTATAAGAGCTATTGTTAGATGATCGTACTACCGGCAAGTGAGAGGGAGTAAATCGGTAGAAACGAACGCCGGCTATATTATAGAGTACAGCTCTGAGTTTTTTATAGCCTACTCGGAGAAGATTGATATTTAGTAGGAATGACCTATTAATACTATCTCAAGATATAATCTCCAGGGTCTCTGTAGGGTTTTTATATTTAGTAGAAATAGGTATAACATTATGAAGTTATACTAAGGTAGTACTATCGTTGAAACTTCTCGGAGAAAAATCATGGGAAGTCTACGCCTAGGTACCGCTTGACGCTTGTCTCATTAACCGAGACCTTTACCAGCACCGAGTAGTTATCCATACATGAAGAAATATAATAACTATTCCCCTTTTAAGTTAATTTGTAATATTTCCTTCATCGCCTATAGAGGGGATATGAACATATTTTCGCCTTTCTCTCTATATTAGTGTACGGAATCCTAGTTGAATAGAACCTTT